GAGATTATAGGCATGCACCACTGCACCCAGCTATCTATTCTTTCTTTAATACTACATCATCTTGATTAGGGTTTACAGTCCTGAAATCAAGAAGTGTGTATCTCCTCTGTGCTTTTAAAATTCTTTTAGCTCTTTTGCTTTTTCATATATGAATATTTTCCATATGATATTATAGTCCAGTTGTCAGTTTCTACAAAAAATTCTACTCAGATTTTAACTAGAACTGTTAAATCTACAGATCAGTTTGGAGAGAACTGACAGTAATAACACTGAATCTTCCAATTAATAAACATAATTTTCATTTTCTGATTTCTTTTATTAATGATTTGTAGGTTTAATCATATAGATTATGCACATATTTTGTTATTTAAAAAATTTTTTTAGTTGTAGGTGGACACAATACCTTTATTTTATTTATTTTTATGTGATGCTGAGGATCAAACACAGTACCTCACATGTGCCAGACCGGCACTCTACCTGAGCCACAACCCCAGAGCCTATTTTGTTAGTTTTATACCTAAGTATTTCATGTGTCTGTAGATATTGTAAATGACATATTTTACAAAATTTCATTTTCCAATTGTTCACTGTAAAACAATGGATTTTTAAATCTAAAAAGCATCAACATCAGATCACATGGTAAAATATATAATATAGAATGGTATACAATTCAAATCAAGTTTCTTGACCACTATAGATCTCTAGTTTTCCATTGAGAAAGCCCTGGTTAACAGTTTATATCTCATCCCAGAAATAATCTGTGAATTAGATATACTAAAGATCTTCTTATCACCCTTTGAAATTATAAATACTGATCTCTTCCTTGCACTTTTCATTCAATATATCAGTAAATGTCTTCTCACATAGAATATTACAACATAAGAAACATCTACCTCATTATTTTATTCATAGCTATACAGAATTGTAGAGAATCAAAACTATCCTACTTATTTAACCTGTGTTTAATTCAAGAACATTTGGATTATTTCAAGTTTTAAATTTAATAAAAATGTTATATCTGTAACTACACCTTTATACATACATTCAAGTATATATTTGTAGTCTAATTTCCTAGTACTATGAAAGCTCAGAGGAAGTGTATGTACACTTTCAATTTTGATAAACATAGGCAAACAATCTTCTATAGGGGTTATACCAACTATTTTCAGAATAGTATCTGAGAGGAATAAAGTAGTTACATAAAGTTTCATAAGGGTTTCTGATGAACACATATACAGTTTAGAATTACTAAAACAGAGCCTAGATTGGAGAGAGGGTGAAACTGAGGTTACTAAGACAAAACAGGAAGTTTCTGCAGTAATCAACTAGAGAATATATGAGGGATTGAATTAAGGTAGTAGAGCCTGGAAGAACAAAGCATATTCAGAGGTAGAATTTATAAAAAGGAACAAAAGCCTTCTGAAATTAGGAATTGCTTCTAATACATCATTAAAATATCTTTAGGGGAGGAGTAAGATGGTGGAACAGAGCTAATCGGTGATTCCTGATCTCTCCATGGCACAGAAAGGAAGCAGTGAAGAACAGCTTACCAAGAGAACTTTACTAGAAGTTTATATCTGGATTAGAGAAACTGTGGAGAACAGTATCAACAAGTTTTTTTGTTTTACATAAGACTGATGAGTACGTGGTTTTGCTCTGAAGAGACTGTAATAAATAGAGTTCAGGGCTGCTGATACTGAAAACAGCAGAGGACACACATTGAGTTTAAGTATTAATACCTTGATATTCCTCCAGCCCAGGGCTAGTAAGAAAAAGCAGCTCATAAAAATAGTCCCTGGCATAAAAGAATATCATCTCAATAGATGGGTAGACAAATAAGTAATATTAAAAAGCAAGGGAAGAAACCACCCCAAACTGCCCACACTTCAACAGCTAATTCTGCTGACACTGTAGTGGAAGAAATAGCATAGAATGAATGTTGGAAAATCACAGTTAAAATGTTCAACAAATTACAGTAAGAGGTAATGAGTAAAATTAGAGAAAATTCAGGAAGGGAAAGACTATTTCAATCAAGAAATAGCAATTCTAAAAAAGAATCAAATGGAAATCCTGGAAATGAAAGCCTCAATAAATTAAATTAAAAATTTGATGGAAAGTATCACCAATAGATTAGAAAACTTYGAAAATAGATTTTCAGGCCCTGTAGACAAAGTATATATAATCCTGAAAATAAATTGACAAGACCAAAATATTCAAGAAACCTGAGATATATACCAAGAAACTAAATTTAAGAATCACTCGGGTAGATGAAGGCTCTGAAATAAAAACTAAAGGAATGCACAATCTTTTCAATGAAATAAAACTAGAAAAATTTCCAAATTCTAGAAATAGGATGGAAATCCAAATATAAGAGGCATACAGAACTCCAAATAGGCAAGATCAAAAAAGATCCTCTCCAAAACACCTTATGATGAAATGTCTAATATACAGACTAAGGAGAGAATTTAACTCATTTCTCAAAGTGGATCAAAAAATCTAGGAAACTCCAACTGCTAGAAGAAAATATAGACTGAACACCTCAACATATTGGTACAAGCATCAATTTCCTTAACAAAACTCCTAAAATGGAAGAAATAAAACCAAGAATCAATAAGAGGGATGGCATCAAGTTATAAAACTTTCTATTCAGCAAAGGAAACAAGAGACAACCTACAAAATAGGGGATTAATATCCAGAATAGAGTTCAAATAACTTACACCAAAAAAACCTCAAATGGGAAAAGAACTAAACAGACATTTCTCAAAAGAAGAAAGACAAATGGTTTATATATATATGAAAAAATGTTGAACATCTACTAAATAGGAATGGCAAAAAATGGCATAATGAATCCTACTCTTATGTACAATCATAATGTACCAATAAAAAAGAAAAAAAATGGGGCTGGGCTGTGGCTCAGGGGTAGAACGCTTGCCTAGCACATGTGAGGCACTGGGTTTGATTCTCAGCACCACATAAGCAAATAAATAAATAAAGGTCCATCAATAACTAATAAAAAATATTTAAAAAACAAAAAGAAATTAGTTGAATATAGAGTTTTTACATTTTCAATACTGGGTATTTTAAGAGATGTTTCCAGGAACTGCTAAAATGAACAAGTCTGGCAATTATGTATTCAAATTTTGTACACATAGCTAAAGACTAGAATTTGTGTTTAAGAAGTTAACAGAGTTATTTGACAAATTAATACACAACAAGGAAAATAACACCTATGTAGTGAATATAAGTAATAAAAAAATAATATCAGAATACAGAACTGTGAGACCATCACAGGTTAGTATTAAGATAGTAACAATGGTATAGAGAATTAAAAAATAACTTTTAGACATCATTATAGTTCCAGATGAAAGAGAGATCTGTATTTTTATTCTCTCCCTGAAGAAAGGGAGGAAAGCAAAAAGGAATAACTTATGTTTCTCATTTCCTTGCAAATCTGAAGAACAGCTTGAGAATACGAGTGAACTGTATTTAGGGCACTAAAAACTGAGATCACAAAAATGGAAATTTGAAGTGCCAATAATAAATGAGAAAAAACAAAGGGTCAAATATTTTACCTCTTTCCATAAACTACAATAAAAAATACCTAATACAGTCAGGGATATTTGTTTTATTTTATATATATATATTTATTTATTTTAGTTTTTGGTGGGCATAACATCTTTATTTTTATTTTTTATGCGGTGCTGAGGATCGAACCCAGCGCCCTACGCATGCCAGGCGAGTGCGCTACTGCTTGAGCCACATCCCCAGCCCCAGATATTTGTTTTATTAAGAGTAACTTTAGGGCTGGGGTTGTAGCTCAGTGGGAGAGCGCTTGCCTTGCATGTGTGAGGCACTGGGTTCCATCCTCAGACATAAAAAATAAGGCATTTTTTTTTTTTTTAAAGAGTGGCTTTACATGAAGCAGTGTTCAAAAAAGTCGAATGTTAGGCATGGGTAATGCTGAGGATTGTGTTACAAGGGAAGTGCTCTACCACTCAGCTACATTCCCAGTTAATGTAATCATAGTAATTGTAGAACACTGTTTATGTAATTGACATTAAAATTAATTAATTTTTTTTAAATGGTGCTGTGGGTGAAATACAGGGCTTTGTGTATGCAAGGCAAGCACTCTGCCTCTGAGTTACATCTCCAAACCTGACTGTGTTTTTCTGAAATGGGACTTCACCATGTTGCCCAGGCTGGCCTTGCAGTGGGTTCAAGGATGTTTCTGCCTAAGTCTCCCAAGTCACTACAACTACAGGCATCATCATGTCTGGCTTCTGTGATAGACTTGAAATTATGCAATTATCATTTTGTTATATGTGTCAAAATTCTTATTGCTTCATAGCACTGAAGCATCACTGAAGCATTCCACATCACCAAATGGGAATGAGAAAGAGAATTTCTATACACAATCCTACTATAAAGTTGTTATTTTGGTCTTTGTGACTATCTGCAGTATACCAAATCACTTCTTTCTCATGCAGAAATAAAACAATTATTCTACTCAGGTCTCAGTTTTTTCAATTTCTGCTTGTTGTACTCTAACTTGTGAGTACAAAATATTGTAAAATCTGCTGAAGGTTCCCTGAAATATTTAACTATGGGTCTAATACAAAAGCTAAGCCATGCCTAAAACCCTGTATTTGAAATACCTAAAACAGAGTCTGGAATATAGTCATGATTAGAAATTTTCATTACATAATGAATTATTCAGAAGTTTTGAAATTGTTATGGTAGCAATCAATCATATTTCCCTTAGAAGACCATTAAAAATTTTAAGTTGTATTATAGCAAAAGTTCTTTAATTTTTTCCTGCTCTAACACATCTGAAATATATGATAATACTAACAGTAACAGTCAATCACTATGATAATAATTCTCAAAGGAGAAGTCTGGATTAAAGAATGATCAACTACTTTCCATAAAAGGCTTTAAAATTGTTATTTCAGAGAAGTTTAATGTTAAGACAACAGAGAAAAAATATCAATAATTCCTACCTGTTCTGGCATAGCTCCATGTTCAATTCCAGTCTTCAATAATCTGTAGCAATTGCCAAACAGATCCCATTTTGTGAGATCATGAGCACTAAGATAAACAAAAGACGCATTAACTTTATTCTAGATAGAGTTCAAGAAAACTTTTATTTGAACTTAGTTTCAGTAAAAGGAAGAGTAAAATAAAACATTTTCTTGGGGATGAGACTGTGGTTCAGTGGTGGAGTGCTTGCCTAGCCCGTTTGAGGCATTGCACTTGATCCTCAGCACCACATCAAATAAATAAGTAAATAAGTAAATAAATAAATGTATTGAGTCCATCTACAACTAAAATAACAAACAAAAAATTAAAAAAACCTAACATTTTCTTTAAGAATTAAAAAGGATCCACTAAGGAAATGTGTGTGTTAGACCCTCACACGTGTGCGCGTGTGCAAACACACACACACACACACACACACACACACACACACAGAATGAAAAAGAGCTGATACCAGGAATTCACTGAAGAAATCAACAATAAACTTCAAACATTTAACTGAAAGTTTCTACCATATGGTCAACATAAACTCAAACTTCATACATAGGTATCTTTTATTTTTAGTATTTTAAAATACATCTTAAACAGATCCATTTACAACTTTAAAATTTATAACCAATGTGTATGTATGTTTATGTATAGAGAGATAGATTTATATTTGTGTGTGTGTGTGTGTGTGTGTGTGTGTGTGTGTGTATCGCAAGGGAGGGAGGTAAAGGGAGAGACCCTTTCCCACTGAACTATATCCCCAGCCCTTTTTATTTTTGAGACAGGGTCTTACTAAATTGCTAAGTCTGGTCTCAAATTTGCAATCCTCCTGCCTTGGCCTCCCAAATTGCTGGGATTACACTGAACCTGGCTAAAAGTTTTAGATTTTTGAAACTGCTTTAGAAATCTATAGAATTCATTAAGAGACTCAATCCAAAAAAAAAATTTTTTTTTTGACAAATTTTACTTTCCTTTCTTTATGGAGAAGATGAGCATAATTTTAAAAGATATACAAATTATAGCTTGAAAACATACATTTCATTCATTGAACCTTTTTTTTTCTTGTTGAAACTCAACTGTTCTGTTCCCAGAATACTGTAATAAGGAACCAAACAAAAATAATTTAGGAAAAAGCCCACAGAACTCACTTTCATAGCTTTCCCCATAATTTTTTTTTCACTTAAGTTGACAAATGATCATGTAGGTGTTGTTGTGAAATATGCATATTATGGAATGGCTAACTAGAACTAATTAACATATGCATTACCTCATCTAATTATTTTTGTGGTAAGAATACTAAAAATCTACTTTCAGCAATTTTTATGGATATAATATATTGTTGTTAACTATATTCATTATGCTGTACAACAGATCTCTTGAATTTATTCCTATTTAATTGAAATTTTGTATTCCTTGAGTAACATCTCCAACTCACCATCAATCTTATTTCTTATTTAGCAAGGCTTCTAAAAGCCATCAAAATTATACCCATGAAAGTCTAGCTTATAAAAATAAGCTTATCTAATTTGTTAAATAATACTGATGTACTTCAACTTTTATAGTGTATACTCATCATTTTAAATGATAATTTTTCATTACACTAACAGTAAATCTTACATCTTAATTAAATAACTACAGATCATAATTTCTCTGGAGAAAATTTGCATAATAAAGAAAATCACCACCATCTCAATATTTCTCTAAAATTTTCTATCGAAATATATGAATGTTGCTGTGTATGTTGGCACACATCTGTAGTCCTAGTGACTCAGGAGGCCAAAGCAGGAGAATCACAAGTTTGAGGTTAGCCTCAGCAACTCAGCAAGACTCTATTTCAAATTAAAAAAAAAAAAACTAAAATAAAATAAAAAAGATTGGAGATGTAGCTCAGTGGTGAAATACCCTTGGGTTCAATTCCCAGTACCCCCCCCCCTCAAAAAAAAAGAGAAAGAAATACATGAATGTATAAAACTGCTACAGTTTATGTTGATTAGTATATTTTAATCACTGAATCTACTTTAAACAAACAACATACTTGTGGAAAGATGTTAACCGCTTTAAGGTGGACAAAACATTGTAAATATCATCATCATCAGCTTCTTCACCCTACAAATTAAAAAGTAAAGATCACCTCATTATCATAACCTAACTCACATTCACAGAAAAATCTATTAATACTTAACTGTCTAAAGAAAAATTCTTCATTATATAAACAGTACACATTCTCTAGAGGTAAATAATACAATTAAAAAAACCCCAAATCTTTACATTTTAAAATAATGTGATAAACATGATTATACACTTTTCTAATTAATATTATACAATAAATTCCTTGAAACTGCTGAGTGAAAGGGTAAAGTTTTACTTTCCTTTTTTTTTGGTGCTGGGAATTTAACTAAGGGCGTTATGCATACAAGGCAAACACAATCACGGAGCTATAGCCCTGCCCTCAAAGATAATGACTATTCCAGATCTTACAGTCAGCTACTTCTGTAGCTTGAAAATCATAAAAAATGTTTGAAAGAAAGAGAAGTTCAAATAGAAATAATTCTTTTAAAAATCAATTATATGTGTTAAAAAGGAAAATTCGATCAGCCTGGACATCAGAGCACACACAACTACAGGAATTCCAGATTGCCTTATGTAGACTGGGATGAGAGGTCAAGAGATAAGGATCCCAAAATTAGAAATATAACCAGTTGAAGAAGCTTGCTATCTTGAGCATACCATTCAGGTATGGGGATTCCTTAAAAGCATACTTAATTTGTACATTTCTACTCTGTAACACATCACAAAATACAGTAATATTAAAATGCCAAATTAGGTCCCAGGAAAAGGAAATGAGTTAAGAAAAATCAAACCTCAGAATGACTTTTCTTAAAATAGAAGGAAAAAAAATCTAGCATTAAAAGGAAATGTGGGGGCTGGGGATGTGGCTCAAGGGGTAGCGCGCTCTCCTAGCATGCATGAGGCACTGGGTTTGATTCTCAGCACCACATAAAAATAAAATAAAGATATTGTGCCCACCTAAAAACTAAAAAATAAATAATTAAAAAAAGAAAAAAGAAAAAAAGGAAATATGGGGCTGGGGTTGTGGCTCAGTGCTTGCCTAGCACATGCGAGGCCCGCTCAATCCTCAGCACCACAAAAAAATAAATAAGTAAAATAAAGGAATTATGTCTAACTATAAGTAAAAAATATATATTTTTWAAAAATATAATTAGGATGTATTAACTGCAATATGCTGTCAAGTTTTTTTTTTAAAGGGGCAGAAATTTCTAGATTTTATTTCAAAATGGAAATGATCACACACTCAGCTATCTTGAATATTCAGTTATTAGGTAAAATTATTATTATAAGTACACATTAACTTTAGAACAGACCTCTTGCAGTAGGTCTTCCACAGAATGATTGAATCGATCTACAAACTCATCAATCAGCTGGCTCCGAGCTATGTCAACTCGGTTCTGGATGGTATACTCTTCACTGCATAAGATGCTATAGGTTTTACTGCAGGCTTCTAGGACATCTGATTCTACATGTTTTTCCACAACAAATTTAATCTGTTTTAATAATGCATCTAGATGCTAAGGAGAAAAAAAAGAAAAACAATGACATTTAAATACTAAAAATTAGCATCTATCAAATAAAAAAGACTATATGATTACATGCAAATAAAATAATTCCATTAATAAAACTTCTTTAATGGCAGAATTTCAATTTCAGTCTCTTACCTTTTCCATTCTACCTGTGCTGTAGATTTCTAGATCAAAATACTGTGGGATTTGCAGCAAGTTTGCTACTTTTTCTGCATCAGCTGAATACTAGAAGAAACAGTAAAGAAAAAAGCAGTAACTAATAGTTATGTTGAAAGCAAACTCGGGGGGGTATATTATCACGAAACTGTAAATGAAACAATACCTTTGATAATAACATAGGAAGTGTGATAATAAAATGCTCAGTCAATTTGTTTCTATCATCAATTTGAGTTTTCCTTTCTTTGGCAGTTAGCACCTGGAAATATATTAAAACAGTAAAAGAATAAGAGTGTCATGTGCAAATGTATAAGTCTAAAATGTCATACAGAAGGATGAAGAACTGGCATATAATAAAACCAAGAATTTTAAGAGAAACTTAAACTACTGAAAAAAACGCAAAAATGTTAACATTCACTGTTCTTTTTTTTTTTTTTTTGAGAGAGAGAGAGAGAGAGAGAGAGAGAGAGAGAATGAATTTTAATATTTATTTTTTAGTTCTCGGCGGACACAACATCTTTGTTTGTATGTGGTGCTGAGGATTGAACCCGGGCCGCACGCATGCCAGGCGAGCAGGCTACCGCTTGAGCCACATCCCCAGTCCAGACTGTTCTTTATTAAATAACTAAATTACTATTTTAACGTACATAAAAATATAAACATTTCTATAAAAACCATAATTAGGAATATAAAAATATTGAAAACAAAAAGTAATTTTTCTAGAGTTTTAACCTCAATGTATTATCGGTTCACTCTCACATGTTAAACACAAACCTATACTATTTAAAGTAGTCCTCTTTTACAACCATCAGACACTAATAAATTTTCATGTATTTTTAAGGCATATACTAATGACATTTCTGAATTCATTTATATTTAAGTCTTCTTGTAACTATGCTCATAAATCTATTAGGCAGCATTCAAGAGAAATAGAAAGTAGTACAGCCTGAGATCATTGAACAAATTTAAGCTGATAACACTCAGTACTTTAGACTATATGCAACTTATTAAACCATGGGTCCTTTCAAAAATAAAATATTAAAATGCAAGCTCAGTTTAAGATCATTTCCCCAAAGTATTCTGCATTTTGTTAATATTCTGAAGGGATTTTCCATCTTAATATTGAATGGCTTTACAGAACAGAAATTTTCCAATATAAACTGTCACTATTTAAACGTGAACCTCAATGTTAAGAATACATGAAAGTAGATGCCTCCTATTTGATTATTTCATATGCTTATATTTTGAACAACAATCACTTGGAATGATCTACAAACTTCTACAGTATTCAGTTCTGCACAAAATAATTAAAAGGACTACAAATAAAGTCAAATATGTGTTTAAAAATGTATTCAGGACATCAAGGAGTTCTGAAATTCATCTAATAATAGATCAAAGGCCCAAGGACACTGATTTTAGGGAAACAGTTATTTTTGACCAGATGATAATTTTCTCAGGCACTCTACATACAGTGAACTCATCTGGTCTTCATAATAACTCTGATGAAATAATAAAAATGGCGTGATACTTATTGAGAAAGAATTTGCTAATATCTAACAAAAAGTTTATGCATATCCTTCCTTTGATCTAGCAATCCCATTTCTAGCAATCTATCCCACCAATACACCAGGTATAAGAAAGAAATGACTCATGCACAAGATTATTCACCATAAAGTATTTCTAAGTATCAAAAAACTAGCAATAATCCAACAGTCTGTTAATAGGTGATTTTCAGTACCTATACAGCCATTAAAAAAAAATCATGAAGATATCTAAATAAAGTTATGGAGTGATATTCAAGACACACTGTTAAATACAAAAAGAAATGTACAGAACAGTGTATAAACTATGCTACTGTTTGTAAAAAATTGGTAGGCAGAAAGAATCGAGAATAAGAATACTTGTAGGTATGTGTGTTTATACATTTCCCTAATTTACAAAACAAAACGCTGGAAGGATAAACTAGAAATAAAACTGGTTCTAGTAGGAATGAGGTGTAGAAGGAGGTCCTTTAAATAAGACTTTAATGAAAGTGAACCTCAGGCTGGGGATGTGGCTCAAGCGGTAGCCTGCTCGCCTGGCATGCGTGCGGCCCGGGTTCAATCCTCGGCACCACATACAAACAAAGATGTTGTGTCCGCCGAAGACTAAAAAATAACTATTAAAATTCTCTCTCTAAAAAAAAAAAAAAAAATGAACCTGGAGCATTTTATTCTGAAACAAAGTGCTCAAAAATGATAATGTCTGAATTAGGAATTAGCCTAAGGGTCTCTCATTAGTCAAAGCTGGAAGAATATACTTTTTTAAAAGACTTTTATTATGGAAAATTTCAAAAACCCTCTAAAGCACAGCAATAACTATTTAGAATTATCATTCTTGTTTTCTCAATTCTAAAGTTTTTTTTCTATTGCATTTTAAGGCAAATCTTTGTATATAATTTTACCATTAAATATTTATATATCTTTAACAGGACTTAAACAGTCTTTTTACAATTTGTTTAAAATAAGAATTCAAACATATTTGGTCGCTATGTCCCTATGTCCTTTACATTTCTGTAATCTCTAAATGTTCTCCTTTTCTACATTCTGAATTGGCTAACTATAGTTTCCTTTAAAACATTCTTTCATCCCCATATTTTCTTGAAAGCAATTGTTTCTGGAAGCTTGATTACATGGATTGTTTTCAGCCACCTCCCTTCACCCAGCCCAGGAACACTTCAAAGGTGGCAGCAGTTTCACTTTTAATAGCAGTTTTCACTTTTAATCAATGCATTCAGATGATGGCAAAGCAATCTATCATGGAATTCCTCATTAATCTTTCATGTAACTACAGGCCATTGATGATTGTCATCTAGATTATTTTATTTGTGTGACAAAATAATATTTTAATTCTGTTATTCCTCCACTTATTACCAGTGACACTTCTACCAAAAAAGTTTGCCTCAATAAATATTTGCTTACCCCAAAATCTCAGTATTACCAATACAGGAAAACTAAACATTGTGTGCTTTTCTGATATGATGTAGTATGGAGTATAAAAAATTATTCCTGACAAAATCTATAACCTTATTGGATCAAGCCTTTACAATTAACTTTCAGATTACAAAAAAATTATGTTAAGAAAAACTAAATGAAGTGCTATGAAGTAACAATAAGAGAAACCAGAAGGAAAACACGTTTTTCCCTCCTATCTAGTTGTTCTCAATTGAAAGAGAAATATTAGTTTAAGCATTTATTTAATGTCTCAATTTCTTGTTTCATGTATTTTGGATTCTGTTGTGTATATAATTACTGTATTATCCCAATGTATTACTGACCCCTTTATCTTAATAAAATCTCTCTTCTGATTTCTAGTAACATTATTACTTAAAGTCTATTTTTATAATATTAATAATCTCTTCAGCTCTCTTAAGGTTATTCATTGCATAATGCCCTTTGCCATCCTTTTACTTCCAACAAATCTGTCTTAAATCTGACSCAGTATGACAATACCTTCTTTTTTTATTGGGGGTGGGGGGTGCACAATGCTAGGGATTGAAATTTTCACCTGCATTCATATTCAATATAATTTCTGATATGGCTATAGATACAAAATCCAGAAAAGAAGAAGACTAGGAGGAGGGAGGAGGAGAGGGAAAGAGGAAGAAATTGACCAAATTATATTGTTCTATTGTGTGCACATATGAGTAAAAACAAATCCCACTGTTACTTATACTTATAAAGCATGAGTAAAAAAAATAGTAAGCTTTAACTCACAAAAAGTCATCCATTTTGCTGTAATCTATATTTATTTCTTTAGTCCCTCTTTTCTGTCTTTACTTAAAGTGTACCACCATAATTTTCATTTTCTTTTTATATATGAATAATTGCTGTAGGAATTATAATATACTTCTTTACTTTCAATTGGCTGCAGGTTAATACTAAATTACTTATAGCAAAATGTAGTAATTTTGCTGCAATATAGTTTCATATCCTTTTCACTTTTTTTGTTTTTACTGTCAGATATATTATGCCTGTATTATAAACTCAACAAAATAGCACTATAATTATTGACACAATATCATGTCCCATTAAAAAACTAACAGATGGAAAAAATACATCTGCCTTTTATATCCATTCACAGATTATAGTTACCATCTGATGACATTCCTTATATGGCCTCAAAGACTTAGTATTTCTTTTTTTTGTTTTTGGTATCAGAGATTGAACTCTGGGGCACTCAACCACTGAGCAACATCCCCAGCCTATTTTGTATTTAATTTAGAGACAGGGCCTCACTGAGTTGCTCAATGCCTTGCTTTTGCTGAGGCTGGCTTTGCAATCCTCCTGCCTCAGCCTCCTGAGCTKCTGGGATTACAGGAGTGCACCACCACGCCAGGCAAGACTTAGTATTTCTTATAAGGCAGGTCTTCTAAGAATGCAGTCTCTCAATTCTTGCTTTTGTTTATCCAGAAATGGTCTTAACATATCTTCATTTTTGAAATATAATTTTACTGGGTTAAAAATTTCCGGAGGGCAATTCTGTTGAATATTCTGGCCTCCACTGTTTCTGATAACAAGTCAACTGCTAAACCCTATTGTAGTTGACTACTCCTTGACTTGTTTTACTGCTTTCAAGATTTTCTAGTTTTGTCTTTCAACTGGGTGACTGCTGTGTCTCCAAAGAAACAGTTTGGGTTTATTCTACTAGGGTTTTGTGTTTATTCCACTTGGATTTGTGAATCAATGTTTTTCATCAAATTTGGTAAGTTTTTGGTAATTACTTCTTTAATCCAACATGTGTGCCTACTGAGAAGACATTTCTACTGTCTTCCTTTTTCCCTTTAGTAGACATTTTAAGATAATATATGTAACTATGGCTTTTAACTTATTTTTATAATTTTAATTTTTTTTTAGATGTGCTTTAATTTCACACATACTTGCTGAGCTTGGTGGTACATGCCTGTAATGCCAGTGGCTTGGGAGGCTGAGGCAGGAGGATCTGTGATTTTTCAGTTAAAATTTTGGCTGGTGCATCTGAACCACCAACTCAGATTATAGAAACAAGTTGGCCACTTCCAGTCAACAAAAAAGCAATGGGCTTTTACCACTTGTACATACTGTATCAACTCTCTGACAACAAAACTGCTGGTACTTGCTGCTAGTGCTACCTGGTAAAAGATCTCACCAAGTAAACTTGTGGGAATGTGTGTGTGTGCGCACTGTAAGCCTAAAATAGGAAGGCTGCAGATTCTTCTGCTTTTACCTGAAACTTCAGCGTTTACACTTGTTTTTGCAGAAAGGATTTGCCTACCCTTTTATACCAAGAGAGAAAAGTCTCTCCACCTGTGATCATTTCAACTTGTCCAAATAATACCTTTATTATTAGTCCCATGTTATAGAAAAGAAAACTAAGGCACACACACACACATGCAAATATTCACCTATCCAAATATTACATGGCTGCTAAATAGAAGAGCTTAAAGTTAAGCTGTCTTCCTTCTGAGCCTTTATGCACTCTTGATATAAATATGAAAATTCTTAAAGTACTACATACATACCATAGAAGTAGGGACAGATATTATGGTATCATGAAGGAAAAAAAATCAATTTTTGGAACCCAAGCCCAGTAGACACAATATAAAAACGAAGTATCATAGATGTATCATTTACAAAAATAGTATATTTGGGGGGATGTAAATTCCAGTAAAATATSCAAATCTTTAAGACAGTCAATTACATTAAAAGCTTTATTGTGGATTTCTCACTAAGGTAACTTACTCTCTTGCCGGTACCCCTTCCCACTGGAGGATGTGCCTCAGCAGCTTGACGAATTGTACAAACCATTAGCTCTATAAGAGCACTTTCTTGCCGGTCAGACATTGCTAAGGTGAAACAAAATACATGAATATGAGCAGACAGTTTTACAATAACCATGTGCTAAAAGTGAATGCAATTATTAAAAATCTAAATATATTACTATGAAGAAGACTTAAGCTATGTATTTTGCTGTTTTTTTTTTCCTTTTGTTTTTCTTACAGAAGTAATATATGCTCGTTGTCTTAAGTCAAATAAGAAAGAGGTATATAAAGTAAAATTTTGGTCTCAGTTCTAACACCATACTTTTGAGTAGGCAATGCTAAAATTTTATTTTATTTCCTTACATATTACTCCAAAGCTCATACAAATTTTTAAAGGTTTAAAAAAAATTTTTTAGTTGTCAATGGACCTTTATTTTTTATTCACTTATATGTGGTGCTGAAAATCAAACCCAGTGCCTCACACATGCTAGGCAAGCACTTTACCACTGAGCCACAACCCCAGTCTAATTTTCTAAAGCTTTTTAACAAAAAAATCATGCCACATATTTAAAAAATTAATAATACTTTTAAATATCTTCATATATATATATATATTATAATTATTATAACAACAAGTTAGTCTTCTCCTGTCTACAGTCAAAATTATTTTCAGATTTTTGACACCATGAAAAGTGCTGCAATAAGCATCATTAATGCATATATACTTAGGTAACTGATAAACTTATTTCTGAGGAATAAATTCCAAGAATGGGAATAACTCATCAAAAGGCAAATCTCGAAAACAACAAATCTAAGATTATTTATTGTAGTTTCCAATTGCAATGATGATAATGTTTGGTTTTTCATATCACTGCCAGTACTGGGTTTTAGAAACCCCTTTAATTTTTGCCAGTCCTATGGTTGTGAAATGTTATTTCATTGTTATTTTGTTCCTTTATATCTACTGATCAGCAAGTATTCTTCCCCCCAACCCTCCAGGATTTATCTTTTTTTTTGATATGGGATCTTGCTAGGTAACCCAAGCTGGTTTTTAACTCAGAGGCTCTAATGACCCTCCCATTTAAGCCTTCTGAATACATGGGATGAACTACAGGCACATTTCACAGCATTTGACTATTGAGATTTTTCTTCTTATTGTTCTTTGCCCAGTCTTCCATTCTTTTTGTTATTAAGATGTAGTAACCTTTGTCTTCTGACTCTTCTTAGTATCTTATTAGACAGAACTGTTACCTTTTAAAAAGTCACATGTGTCTCCCATTGGGTTTTGCTTATTGGTGTATATTAATTATACAGAATGGTTGTTTTATTGTAGAATATTTATACATCCATAAACCATTATCTAATCAGTTTCACTGAGCTTGTTATATTGCATTCAAAGAATGCTCTGTCTTAGAGATTAGAGAAATATTTTCTTCATTTTCTTTTAATTTCTTTCTCTCATGGTTACTTGCTCTCTTTTTTATTTTAATTTTTTAGTTGTTGATGTACCTTTATTTATTTATTTATTTATTTTTATTTTTATGTGATGCTGAGGATTGAACTCAGTGCCTCACACATGCCAGGCAAGTACTCTGCTACTGAGCCACAACTCCAGCCCCTCATTTGCTCTCTTGACCTTCCTTCTTTTGTTCTTTCTTATTCCTTCACTTTTATATCTTTAATCTCTTTGGCATTTATTTGTAAATGAGTAGAAAGTATAAGCCTATTTACCTATACCAAATAAAAAAAGCCAATTACACCTTCACTACTACTAAATAAACCAGATTTACCTATGTATTTTAAATGCCATTTTAAAATATGCTGTAGGCTCTCATATAAACTTAGATCTTTATTCTAAGTATATTCTTTATTTAGTTTTGCTAATCTACTTGTATATTTTTATAACTACCTCTTTTGGTTATAGTACATTTATAATTTATTAAAATAATTTATTTTGCAACTTAATACAACTAATTAAACAAGTTTCCCTTACTGTGTCCTTTTAAATTTTTTTTGTAATTTTTATAATGCTGGCAGCAAATAATTTATTAAGCATTTTTATGCATAAGGCACATATATTAAATTGGATTAGTTGATAACTTGTTTTATCCACAAACAACTCTAAGAAATAAGAACCAATATAATCCAAAGGGATTAAATAACTATTCAAAATGTTCAACTAGTAGTAGAATCAACACATTAACCCAGGTAGTCTGACTCTAGAATAGTGCTCTTAAGCACTATGTTATACTGGCTTTTTAACATACATTTAAAATGCTACATAAACTTCAAAATATTTTTTGGTTAGGTCTGGGTCCAACTGTACAGCCCAACCGTACACACTGAGTTGTTTAGGGCCTAGATAAGTTGCTGAGTCTCACTTTAAACAGATTCTTCTGCCTTGGCCTCCTGAGCCACTGGGATTACAAGTGTGACACTGCACCCGGTTTTTACAATCTTTTCATCTAGAAACATAACTTAGTTCTTCATTTTTGAGATCTTGTTTTACATCATTTAAGAAAACATTAGAGTTTTCCCATAAAGAAATTAAGTACTATTCTTCTGAAATCACCCCATGTGTTTTTAAACATACTTTTTAAAAGGATAATGTAAATACTTTAATTTAGATGGTAGGAATATATTATAGAGAAAGAACTTCAGAAGGAAAAATACAATGAATCTATGAAAGTTTAAAAGTCTACAATGATTATTTTTAAATTGAGGCAAAAGCAAAGAAAAGGCAGACAAAGACATAATGACACCCTGTCCTGTAGTCTATAGCAAAATTATCCTGCACAGGAACATATATATACAACTTTCTTCCTTTCTTTATTTGCAATACTGGGGATTGTACACAGGACTTTGTGCATGCTAGTCACATACTCTCCCACTAAGCTACAAACCTACCCCTTTTTAAAAATTTAATTTTGAGATAGGGCCTCATTAAGTTGCCTAGGCTGGCCTTGAACTGTAGCCTCTCAGGTAGCTGGGATGACATGTGCGTGGACACAGCACCCAGCCTATACATACATCTCAATTCAATCATTTCTTAAATTTTTATTTTCTTAGGAAAAAACACATGAATTTTAGCCTATTTTAGGAAAAACACATAAAACAAATTCAATTTTTCCACCGGTACGCCTAGGATCCAATGCCTAACAATACAAAATACCACTCCATTCAGTAACATTTTTACTTTCCAATTCTGGAATTTCATAACTTTTTAAAATCTGGCCGTGAATAAAGGAGCACAGGTTGTCTGCGAACTAAATGCATGTTTTTAAAATTCAGAAATAATACCTGGATTTATGGAATGTGAAGAGAGAACAAGTTATCACAAGAATGGAAACTTTCTTACACTATATAGTAAAACTCAAAGTAGTGTTGAAGTAGAACTAAACTTTGCACAGTATCCACTAACATCAATTTTGTTAAATTTATACTATCAAAATTGAAACCTTCCCTGAATGGAGAGACAGGAAAAATCAAAAGCAACTGAAACTTAATTAAATCCCTTCTGGGATATGACAGCAAATCTACATAATAATGAGAACTAAGCAAGCTTTATTAAGCCTTAGACAAGAGCCAAATAGTCACACTGAATGAAATAAACAGGTAACTACTTAGACTTTGAACTATTACATAATTACACAACTTTCTAACTGTTGGGAAACCTTTTCATGCATCATCTCTATTTTCTCAGTATTGGTTTTAGTCTTATCACTAAAAACAAACGCTTTAAAGTCAACCAGGACAAAAATTTTCAAAAGACCTTTGTGTAAGTCTTAAAGCAACATATGATATTAACCACAGCTCTACAATATATATTATTATTAACCATATATCTCTTGATTATCGTCTTTACTGGGTTTGTAAAAGGGTATAATTCTCTCATTTTCATAGCTGTTATTCTCTCTTGCCCTTCCTCCTATTGTTTGGTATCCACAATCTTTAAGTGAGTTACAGGCTCTTACTTTCTTCATAAACTATCTTCTAATTTTTTACTATTGTTTCTCATAGAGACCACTGCAACAATTACATACCTAGTCTTCTGCCTATTCCAAATCACATATATAAAGGCATTTTTCTTAAAATATGTATTGGATCACAGTGATCCTTGTTTAAAATCCTTCAATGGAATCCTAATCAAACTAATAAACTAAAAAAATTCACTTGTAAACTTAAAATATTCTAAATTATCTGATCTCTATCTCTATCTCCACTTGTTACCAATGGCTATGTTCTAGTTATTACAGCTCCTAGAATGAAATTATCATTCATGCTTCTGATGCTTTGCAATTGGTATTTCCACTATCTAGACATATCTTTTTTGATACTTCCTTTTGTTTCTTGGCTTACAAGTGGGATTCTTCAAAAAGGTCTTCCATCAGGATTTGATCTAAAGAAAAACCCTCCTTATTGTCCTTCACAGACATTTATTAACTCCTGGAATTAACAAATAGTTAAGAGTACATAACTTGATTTTTGGGTTTGCCTTCCTCAAAAGAATATAAGATCTATATGGGCCTAGTTTAATATTGTACCTTCAGTATTTAACATAATATTTGGCATATATAAAAGAGTAAATATTGGGCTGGGGCTGTAGCTCAGTGGTAGAGCAATTGTCTGGCATGTGTGAGGCACTGGGTTTGATCCTTAGCAGCACGTAAAAATAATAAATAAAGGCATTCTGTCCATCTACAAGTACAAAAATAGAAAAATTTAAAAAATGAGAGTAAATATTATTAAAATTATAAATAAATTAATGATTTGAATGGTTGTTATTGAATGCGTGCAAGGGATTAAACCCAGGGCTTTGTGCATTCTAGGGAAACGCTCTACCACTGAGCTACATCCCCAGCCTACAATTCCTGCTTTGAAGAATTTCATCATTTGCATCTTCAAGCAACTGAATACAGAATTTTAGCATTAGAAGCAATGAAAGAAGATTACCTAGTCAAAGGTTCATATATTAAAGTTAAAGAAGCTGATAATCATAAGTCAAATAACTTGTTACCTGGTAACAAAGCTATTAAGAACCCAGATCCTCACATTATTATATTAAACATTTATCCAATTTTTATTCTGCTATAAGCAAATACATACACACACACACACAAACACACACACACACACACACAACAGCCCCTTAAAAACACTGCAAGACAGTCTTAAGGTTACTGTGATTTAAGCTGGTGTTAGTCTTTTACAATGTGTCTCTTTCTCCAAATTTCAGACCTACATCTCAACTTTTAACTAAAATTTTCTTCACTGAAATTTTGCCACACTTCAACTGTCTAAAAAATAAATTCCAATCAGTTTCAAAAATAAGTTTCAGGTAGCTTTTTGTTATAAAATACAGCAAAATAGTAGCACAGAAAATTGATTTGAATGTCATTTGATGCCAGACCCTATAAGTCACATAACACTCACACACAAAAAGTATGAAAAAAGTTTAGTTATCTTGTAGATACAATTCTACATTTGTTATATGTAATTTCTCAGGCTTACCCTACTCAGATTCAATCACATCCTAAAACTGTGGTTCAGTTTAAAGAATGATTCCCATTTTAAAGGTAGCTTCTATAGCTAAAACCAGACCAACCATATCCAAACCAAACCAAACCAAACCAACCTCTTAACAGAAAGCCAAATAAATTCAATGTCAACTAAATTTACACCACAATGAAATATCTAAAAGCACATAGTTATTTTAAGAAGAGAAATCCGTCTAGATCATCTTAATGACTCAAAGACTTATTAATTTACCGATTTACATATCTTACACAAAAGTAAAAACTAACAATACCAAAGCATACTACCTTGGCACTTCTTCCCTTAATTTGCATTCCTTGCCTCCCTTCTTATTAGACATAACCTTATAAAACATGAGGTGGTAAAGGAAAAAATGACTTGAAAACATGGATGGGATATATCACTCAAACTATGCCAGTGTTGTTTGGGTAGTACTGATTAGAAAGAAAAATTATTTCAACAGGAAAAATAATAAGATTAGTTAAAAATATAATGTATGAAGTCAGTGAACTGAGCAAGAAAATGTATAAGCAAAATAATAAGGAGAAAATGCAGAATATATGTTCATATTCTTATGATCATGAAAATAAAAGGAATGCAAAGTGCAGTTAGTTCAACCTAGTGAGCAAAGGGGTTCTGTCAACTTGTCATTTTCTAACTAAGGTTTATCATGGAAGAAAAAGGTCTGTGAAAAGTTTGGGAAGATAAAGGAAGAGAATGTGAAGTAGATATTCAAATTATACTTAACAAAGGCAAACTGAGCTTGTTTATGGGAGTGTATGTGGGTAGATGATGTCTATCTATGTTTCTCCCACTGAATCAAAGCTGGAATAGGTATAGGGGATGGTCACTCCGTTAGTGACCTGTTTGCACAGTCAAATGCAGGGGAGGGCTCATTCTGATCTTACAATATTTCAAAGGGTTGAACCATTAGGAGGGTAGTGGAAGCAGAACAAATAATCAATAGTATATTATCTTACTTAATCCTCCAAAGTATGTAAATTACATAAGGAAAATAATCTCTACTTTTAGAGAAAAGGAGACAAAGGATAAGAAAATATAATGAAAGAGGGGAAGATTGTGCTTTAATTAAATCACATTCTCAATGCTGGGGATGTAGCTCAGTGGTATACTGTGTGATAAGCAAGCACAAGACCCTGGGGTCAATCCCTAGTAGCCTCTCCCTGAAAAGACAGAGAAGAAAAAAAAAAGTATCAAAGTTTTTCCAAGTTTACATATCAAACAGCAAAAATATCCTGGATGCACTTTTTTTCACATTGAGTAATATCAGTATTTTGTGTCTCAAATCAGCATAAAGAAAACTTTTTTGAATACTACGTAACACAAGAATTTTTAAAGCCCTTGTGCAGCATGGTAGCAGTGCTAATATGGAAAGATGTTAAACCATAGAGACTTCCTTGTTATAGAAAACTGTTCTATTGAGAAAAAGATATATGGCATTCATTTTTAAGACGTGATCTATATAGGATAGTATGATTATAAATGAAAACATAACAATCTGTGAACCAACTTGTCAAATACTATACCTTCCTCTCCTTGAACAGGTTCTTCTAATAGCAATTCTGTCATACATTCCCAGTCTTTCAACAGTTCTTGAGAGCTCTCCCACAAACTGTCCACCAAGTAGGCTGCATGTTCGTGTAACTAAAATTAACAAATCAAGTGTGACTAAAGAACATTTAATAAAGAAATCACTATTAATACTGCAAGTTAATAAACCATTTTCTTTATAATTAAAATGGCTTGGTGTCAATGATTCTAAGAACCATGTGGAGAATAACATATATATTCATATTCCACCATCAATAATGTGGATATAGTATGTAGAATCATTTTTTTTCAAACATGAACAGTAGTAAAATTAAGGATCTCTTAAAGACTAATGACATCATTTACAGATGAGGAAATTGATAGTAGATTGCTACTTAGCAGAATCCCTGAAATTATAAACTGGATTTAGGTCACTTTTCACTTCTATTGGTCATCTCTTTTTAACTATTTTCTTTTAGGAAATTTATTACTTTCTCCCAGATTTCCATTTGAAACTTCAGTACTAGCCTCAACTTGGTGAAAAAGTAAAAAATGTAAGTTATTTCCCTCTCTTCTTTATCTACTTTCATTTCCATTTAACTCAACGCATCTATCACCTCACCTTCATTTTCTGGTCATTACTCTCTTTACACAAGTGACCCATGATCCCACAGTAAAGAAACACACTGAAGTTCCTTATCAAATACTTCACGACAAACTCTACCACTTGTTAGTCATTAAACTATACTTTGACAAAGAAGTATACTATACTTTGACAAAGAAGTATACTATACTTTGACAAAGAAGCCCTTCAGGCAATGGGAATGAAGAAGGTGTTGGCACTGTCCCAGTTTCTGTTACTCATAATTTCCACCCTTAGAAAAAAGACAGCCTGCCTTTGAGGCTCATGATACCCAGATAAACAATTCTAGGAATGGTTTTTCAAACTATAGACTGCAACTCATTCTTGGGTTGTTAAACTAGTTAAGTGCGTCGAAACAGAGATAAAAACAGTGAATAGCACATAGAAAGGATAAATATTATTTCACGTTACTGTCCCCCCCATACCTCCCAGTGCTGAGGATTGAACCCAAGGCTTCATGCATGCTGAGCAAGTGCTCTACTACTTAGCTATATCCCAGCCTTTAACTGTTATTTGTTATATATGCTTGTACTTGTCTTTGACAAAACATATTTCTCATCAGTAGGGACAGCCCAAAAAGTACTTTAGTTTTCTTTCTCACCTCCCTTACTAATTCTACCATATTCTAAACTTCAATGTAAATTTTAATAACTTGTTTAATGCTCTGTTTTCATTGACTCTGGTTCTGTACGTCATTTCTACTGCATTTTAAATCTTGCACACTGGCTCCAGAAGTGCATTAGGAAAACCATGCACACACAAACACACTACATAGTCTCCCAATGAATTTTATTAAAGCCAGAGCAGATAATAATGATCATCTCTGCTTCAAAAGAACACGGGCAAAGGTTTGCATTAAGGTATTTTAAATTTTCCGAACTCATATAGCATGAGAAACTATTCTTGAACCATCAGTAACATCATTCTAACAATGACAGGCACAAGTAATACAAAACTAGGTGTTAAAAATGAATATGAAAGCACAAAAAAAGAATAATAGTTTCAACACTTCTGTTAAAGACTATGCTGAAATGAAGAGTTATAGTTTAATGGACATAGTTTTAGTTTGGGAAGATTTGAAAAAGTTATGGAGATGGATGGCAGTGACGACCATAGAGCAATGTAAATGCACTTAATGCTACTGAACTGTACACTTAAAAAAATTGTTATGTCCATTTTACTATTATAAAAATGAACATGCTATATAGATGTGCTTTTATTTGACTGTGTAGATGCACATTTCCATAAATAAGATATATATTTAGAATTACAATATATATATCTAGTGGATTATACCTTTTATAAATAGATCCACGTTTTATCCCTCTTAATGCTTCTGGTCTTTCAATTCTGGTTTATTTTTTGATATTGTCCTGTTTTCTTTCTGAGGGCTCTTGTTATATCTGGACTTTTATTTGTAAATCCTGGTATTATTTTAACTAAAGTGTGTTTGTAAACATCATATAGCTATGTTTTATTTCTTTATTTCAACTCCTAATGACAATCTGTGTTTTAATACAGAATGTTAGCCTGTTTACATTTACTGGATTACTGATGTTGGAAATATTTCTGGCATTTTATTTTCTGTGCTTTAACTTATGCCATTTTCTTTAGTATTTTATCTGTCTTTCATTTTTAGCTTTATTTTGACTTATACTTTTCCATTAAAGATCATTAGAATATTTCTTTACTTTTCATTTAATCTGAACATTATATTTCTACTTAATAATATTTAGATTTCTGCCTTAAACATCACAGTCGTGTTTTTTTAGGCTCAGCTTTATTTAAACTTTTTCACTTATTTGTTCACTCAGTTTCTTATATTCCTGATTTCTTTTTATTGTATTCATTCTCTATTTTGCTAGAAAACATACTCAAGTAATATTTTACATATAGAGTTCATGAGTGGTTAACTTTTTGTCATTTGATTAGTTCCTTTCCTCCATTCTTTCTACATCTCTCTCATCTTTTTCCTTTCTTTCATCTTTTGTATTGCTTTCTAGAAAAAAATCCCTTGGTTCTATCTGTAGCCAATCCTTGGTTGTGTCTACTGAAGCCATTTATTGATTTTCCTCCTTAAATTTTAGAAACCATTTTAACTCATGTGAATTATCTTCCTCTTTTATAAGCCTCTTCACCTATTTGGCAGTATGAATTAAATCTTTTCGTCAATATGATGAATTTTATATTTATTTGTCAAGTTTTAAAGACTCTTGGTTGCTAATTTATATGTTGATGAGTCTACACTCATGAACAGTTTTAACTAGAATCCTTCCTTGACACTGATAGCAAGGTTCTGGCTTCCTTGGTGGAGCAGGAAAGGGGAATCTGTGATCAGGCAGGAATCCCCTCTATTGTACAGATATACAATTTCTCTTTTATATGCAAAATTTTCCTGTCCCTGTTGGTGGTCATAAAATTTTGGAAGCTTTCACTGCTTTCCTTTTCAGATCCATTTTATATACCCCAAATGTATGGACCAACAGTTCTAAAGTGATAAATATGCTCAGCTAAAGGACAGCTAGCTACTTAATTACTATTTATGCATTACCCCTTCACTAGCCTCTGTTGCTACCATCTTCACTGTATTTCTGAGTTGTTCCAGCAACACCTCAGTTAAAACAGGGATTTTCTATTTTTGTCTCACTGGGCAATGGGTTACCTAGTGCTAATAGATTTTTCAGTCAGTCTCTTCTCATTTACTTTATATATTCCACACACTCTTCACTCTTCTGATGAACTGATAATACCTCTTTCATTTTGACTAATTTAGCCTGAGGTTTTCAGTGGAGGAGCTAAAGGCAAAATTCAATGCTTAAATTAGTGTAAATCTAGATGCTAACTTCTTTGACAGTTTACTCACCTGACTCTAAGGTAGTGGATGCAATAGAATGTATTTTGTTAAAAATCAATAACCAATAGGTTAAAATTCAACGTTTACATCAGAAAAGCAAGATAATAAATTGGATCATTTTCTGATAAGAGTTGTAAATTTACCAACTCTAGTTACAATAATCAACACAATATGGTCAGTCAGGAGCTGGCTTGACGTGTCTTTAGGCATCTGTGACGGTCACAGAACTTGATATTCTCAAACTTCTATTAGAATACCAGGTAAATTCATGTTTGAGAAAAAAAGGAAAAAAGAATTCTAACATGGCTGGAAAGGATAAAAGGTCACTACAATCACCTTTCAGACATTTTATACTAAGGAGTAAGAGATGAAGCTATGAGAAGGCAGGCCTTGAGGCATTTTCAGTGGCTATTAAAAACCAAACTAAACCAAAACAAAACTTGGAATTTAAATTATCTAAAATCACATTTCTATTTATATAGGTAGATTTTTACCATGTTAAATGAAAGTATAATTTATTTTATTGGTTTTCCTCTAAGATAAACTAATCTCATCTTCCTGGTGATGAAAATTATAATTTTCTAGGTATATTCTGATTCATCTTTCAAACATTATACTATTTTTAATATTTTATCAAGTTTCTTCTATCTGCTAATCTGTCAGATAAATATATTTAAGGATTTCACTATATAATAGTACATTACTGTGATTCCTTTTATGACATATCATTTAGAATTCAAGTAATCATCTCAAAATTATTATAAATACTCTTATATTGGGTCTTTACCTCTGTTAAAATAGAGTCAGTCACTGTTAAATCATAAAGAACACAAACAAAACCCAAGCAAAAGAGCTTATTTATGCACAAAGAATGAACACTCTAGATGAGAAATCTTGGATATATCAATACACTGTTCAATTTTCTGTGTTAAATTACTGTCACAACTGTTCTCATTATTCTTTAAGCCTATAAGGAGAGTGACCATACCTCTAGTCTTTACAAAAATGTTCTGGGGCTGGGACTGTAGCTCAGTGGTAGAGTGCTTGCCTCACACTCATGAGGCATGGGTTCGGTCCTCAGCACCACATAAAAACAAAGATATTGTATCTATCCACAACTAAAAAACTATTTAAAAAATGTTCTAAAATAATATTAATCGCTTTCTTTTCTATGAAAAGTATCATAATATGAACACTACATATAGGGTGATCTGAACTTATCAAATTGAAATACCATTTATCCTACTGTCTGGCTTGCATTTATAATACAAGGTACTTTGTCACTAGATATTAATGACTATCATAAAGGTTGTGGTAGCTTAAAAATGTCACCTTTGAGTACTGCAAGAAAATTGACAACTAGTTTAGGCAGATCTCTTTATCTAGATAATTTCACTTACACTATAAATCCCTTTCAATATTTTATAATTTTATCTCACATTCCAGGAAAAGAATGATAATTGGTTCAGTTAAGTGATCTGTAATTTATCTATAAAAGACTCATCCTACTTATGATTTCTAAAGTGTCTAGTTAATTCAACATTTCAGGTGTCTGTTACTAAAATTTTACTAATGAACATGAGTTACAATAAAAAATTCAGAGTAGGACACAACTGGAATCCTATCATACTATAAGAATATGAATTCAATAAACATGCAGCTCTGAGTACACACTAGTACAACAGGATAAGAAGAAAGATTTTCACAAAGAATGATCATTCTGAAATACAGAAGACCATAAAAGCCAAAAACCAAGAATCAACCAGAAACCCTTAAATCTGATTTGCAGTTGCTTTTGCAGTCAACAAGAATGCCATGTAAAAGAATTACATTTTAATACTGCTGAAACACATTAGTAAATGGCAATAAACAAAGTAATACAGTAATGCAATCTGAAAATAGAGCAATAATAAACACCATAAATTACTGCCTTAAATAAAAGGCAAAACTGCCTAAAACTAAGTACTTACGCCTTTTAATAAATTAAGTCAACGTTCTTGAGCTTCCAGAAATCCAAAACATTTCCTTTAATTATATCTGCATACCCATCCTTATCAATATTTAAAATTACTGTTGATTTGACTGTTTCATAATACTTTTTATCCTATTCCTCTAAACCCTAAGGGGACTCAAGGTAAAGTTTGAAATGGATTATCCTAAGTGTAGTATTTATTGGGTATTAAGTGTTTTTTCTTAAAAATTCATGTTCATTTTATCTTACAACATATCCAAGCTTGTTTTGTAAAGAAAATAATGTATTGTGCCCTTACTATGCAAAGTATGGTTCCTGGACCAAGAGCATAAGCATATCACATAAGAACTTGTTAGAAATGCAGAATCTCAAGAATCCAGAGCCATTGTATCAGAACTAGCATTTTAACAAGATCCACAGGTTATCTGTATGTACATTTTAAACTATATTCTTAAATACAGTTTAAATATCATTTAAACTATACATGTTCTTAAATATATTCTTGACTCAAATGAAAACTCTCCAGATGGTTTCTGATTTTACTTTGTCTATTATGGAGTTACAACTAAAAAATCTATGGCAACTGTCCTTTCTACCCTGCTTTGCCATGACAACCCCCACCCCTTCATTTCAATGATTCAGTTCTCTGATTTTAATTTTCATATAAGCTACCTATTTGTCTTTCTCTAACTCATCCCTATACTGTTCCACCAAAACTCTCAAGTTTGAGTATTCACAGAATCTTAAATTTCTCATCCCTGACAATCCAACATAAACCCAAAACATTCATAGCCCAAACAAAGTTGAGTCTTATATTTCTATATTTTTTCTTTTTTTTAGTTATACACGGACACAATGTCTTTATTTATTTTTTTATGTGGAGCTAAGGATCGAACCCAGTGTCTCACATGTACGAGGCAAGCACTCTGCCTCTGAGCCACCACCCCAGTCTGAATTCTATGTTTTCTTTACAACTCTATTCTCACTCATTTCTAACCCAGTAGTTTATTCATTCCCTACTCCCACCCCTACTGGGAATAGAATCCAGGGGCGCTTAACCACTCAGCCACATCCCCAGCTCTTTTTATATTTTATTTAGAGACGGAGTCTTGCCAGGTTGCTTTTAGGGCATTGAGAAATTGCTGAGGCTGGCTTTGAATTCAAAATCTTTCTGTCTCAGCCTCCTGAGCCACTGTGATTACAGGCTTGTACCACCGTGCCTGGCTATTCAGGGGTTCTTTAGGTTTGGATGACCATTCCCCCAATAGAAAATACAGAATAAAATATCAAACAGTATTTTAGTAAGAAAAACTATAGTCTCCCTGTAAAAACAGATACTAATTGTACATTGAGTGTTAATTATAAAACTCTTTACATGATAACTGATACAGCAATGAAAACACTGCTATGAGAATTGTAGAACAGTTTAAAACATCTAAATTCATACTTTCCCTACTCCTTATTAAATAATGCAATTTTCAAAAATGATCAAACTAATGGTTTCAATAATTTGACAACTCCCAAAGTAAACATGTAATTTAAAACAAAAGATACATATTTAAGAGAAAAACAAACTAGTATGCAGTATTGCAACMCTGTAATAGTGTAAAAGTTTTAACAATTACTGTTATATACTCAATATTGATATAGCTCTATATGTATATTTAGAAGTTCCTTCCACAAAAGGTAGAGTATTAATTCTAAAATTAAGCAAGTTATAAAGACAACTTTGTAGAAATAGTCTTATTTTCATTTGATTTTAAATTCAATGACAATTTTATTTAATATGTAGTATATAAAAATAAAATGTTAATTTTTTTGCTTTTACCTCACTTTCAAGAAAAAAAAGGACAAGCATTCTAATGAGGTTTCCATTTGGACTGTTCCTTCCTCTCCTCTTTGCTAATGCCTCCTCGGCTTGTGGGTCATGTCTGCTAAACAGCCTGGTGGGAGGGGGAGGGGGGATGACAATAAAAGCATTACAAATTCTCATGGATATCAGTTAGTCTTTTCTTTCATTACACAAATTATTTCAGCATTTAAAAAAAATCTGAGATCAGATTACCAATCTATTTCAACAAAAATATGTTACTGATACCTTTATATAAAGGTTAAAAAATGGTTGGATTTGAAAATTTCCTTAAAGTATAGCTATATATAAAACATACAAGGAGGCTGGGATGTAGCTCAGTTGGTAGAGCGCTTGCCTTGAAAGCACAAGGCCCTGGGTTTACTCCCCAGCACCACCCACACACACAAAAAAATGATACTTGTGGTTAAAAAAAGAAAAGTACAAGGAAAATTTTACTGAATAATCGATGCTCAAATATTAATGAAAAATATAAGCACTGATAATATCCTATATGATTAATACTAGAGTACATAATTTTATAGGTTGATTTTGTCTTTAGTGGTGCTAGGGATTGAACCCAGGGCCGTCTGTGTGTTAGGCAAGCACTCTGTCACTGAACTATGTCCCTAGTCCTGTAATTTAGTTTTATTTTCTTAGATAATGATTTCACAATCACATAACTATAGAATTTAACCAAATGTTCCAGAAAATATGAAAATTCATATTTTTAATCATTACCTCTTACTTATAACTTATTACCAATTAACATGCTCACCCAAATGTTTTCAGTAAAATGACATTCATGTTACAGTTAGAAAAGTATCATTTAGTGACTAACTTTCTAAAATATGACTATGAAATTATCTGAAAAATTTCATTTGTTCAGTAGACTTATTCTAATAAAACTTGACTGCTAAAGGTCCTTAAGTCCCCTATTTCCAGTCATTGCTCTAGATAAAAAGGATATAGCAGCGACCAAAGACAAAACCCTGATTCTTTTATAAAAAAAAAATCTCAGCTTTTATAAAAAATAAGAACATGGAGACAGACAAATAGCATGGGCTAATTTACATACGGAAGTCAAAGTTTGCCTCTCATATGAAAGGTAAATAACTGAAGAAAATAAGAAAAAATTCACGTGATACAAAAACAAAGAGATCCCAAGTAGAAAACTGCAACAGAAAATTTGTGTTTTGTTTGGCTGGGGGACATATAAGCCTTATCTTGAAACTATATGAATACAGCTATCACAATAGTTAAAAGAGATGGTTTTTTTTTGTGGGTAGCTTTCAGAGGGGTGGCAAATGAAAATTCTGAGGGTCCTTGGTAACTAAAAATATAGGAGTTTGGATAATGCATTTATTATATATATATTACTGAGAAGTTAGCGTAGGCTTCTAAACTTAAAAAAAATGTGGATTTTTGGATGACTTTAAAATATCCATTTCAGCTTACTATCATTTGGATGACTGGTTAAGACTGTGTGCATGGCTTGTAGATTTTAAGATACTGTGTGCACAAGCACAGATTCAAGTATTTTTGACATAATCCTAGAATTTCTGGGGCTGCTATATATTGTTAAGATTTTAATTTAAAAAAATGTTAAAGTAAAGAAAAAATATTTTAAAAGGTAATCATATTAAATGGTAAATGAATGTTTAAAAAAATCATTAAAAAATTAAAATGTGAATTGCTCCAGGGCAGGGGCTTAAAAATCAGTTAATTAAGGAAGTCTTCATTTACTTCCACAAGAATAGGCTTCATTTTCACAAACAAATAATAAACTTTTAGGTAAAGTGTCCCAATATAAAAAATGTTAGCAAATATCTCAAACTTATTCAAATGATACAGATAAAACAACTTTTCCCACTTTGAGTAGTACAATTACTTAGAGAAAAAACTGTTCTTGAGGCACTGTGATGTAGATACTTGAAGAGACAGATCTGCTCATTATCAAAGTTAATCATCCAGGTGCAACAACTGCCCAGTGTATGATTTACATTCATGCTGTAGCACAATCACAAATTAGTACATAATGGACTTTTAGGTTCACGTGCCAATAATCAAAGCYACTAAGTTAAATCCACAATCAAAAAAGCAAAAAATAGGGGCTGGGGTTGTGGCTCGGTGGTAGAGCGCTCACCTAAAACGTGCAAGACGCTGGGTTTGATCCACAGCACCACATAAAAATAAATGAAATAAAGGTATTGTGTCCAAATGCAACTAAAAAAAAAAAAATTAAAAAAAAAAAACACAAAGCAAAAGGTACACATAACCAATATGTTTGTATTATGAAAATAAATGATCCTACTGTTATAAAACATACAGTAGTAAACCATAATAAAAATGAATTTCATAAGTATTTATGCTTATAAATTCTCATTAATTTGATGCTTTGCCAAAATAAATTTAACAAGTTTTAAAAAAATTCAAAAAATTTAAACTTTAACTGTAAATATAACTTTAATAATCACTATAGATTACTGTTTTTTATGGAGAGAACAGGGGGGAAAAAACCATGAAAAGTGGGGAGGCATTTTAAAGGTGATACTACAGAACATTTAAATTATAAATGTTGAAAAGGTAAGATTGGAACTCAAAATTTTAAAAGAAAAAAATTAGTAAAATGAAATATCATTACCTGGGGAGCTTTTTATTTTAAGGGGGGGGGGAGAGAAGAGAGAGACAGAGAGAGAGAGAGAGAATTTTAATATTTAGTTTTTAGTTATTGGAGGACACAACATCTTTGTTTTTGGTGCTGAGAATCGAACCCAGGCCGCACGCATGCCAGGTGAGCACGCTACCGCTTGAGCCACATCCCCAACCCTACCTGGGGAGCTTTCATAAATTTCATATACTTTCCCAATTTCACCACCTAGCTGTGAATCATCTTTTCACATATCAGGGAAAAATAGATATATCAAAAGACATACCATTCTCAGGAATATAATTTATAATGTGTAAAGTTTATGAAGCTATGATAGCTGAGTAAGGTGATATGCACATTTTTTAATACTCTGTTCAATTACTACTACTCTCTTCTACTAACTCTAAAACAACAAAAAAAACCCAAAATACATGAGTTTTGAAAAATAACTCACTTTTTGTGAAGGAACTCTCCTGCTGCCACAGCAACAGGGCGATGTGCTGAATAAACCAAGTGGTAAACATTTTCACAGTCTTCATTGGAAAGGGCTTCTTCACTTCCACTGAAAATTTCAGAAAGTTAACAGCTGAACCAAAATAAGCACATATTTTCAGTTCTACTGTTATTTCAAAATTTGAAAGTTCAACATAAAAGTTGAAGGCACACTGATTTTAGTTTCCGCCTTATCTTACTTTGAAAGTACTATTTCACTATATAAAAGACACAATCATTATAAAATGTTCAGAATATATAGATAAAACAGGGAGAAAATAAAATATATAATACTTCCACACACACATATTCTTATACAATGACTATTAAGCTCTTTAAATGTGCATAAGATTTTTGTTGATATGTTCTGGCAATATTTTTGTCCTTGTTTCATAGAAATTACTATGCTATATAAGTCTTCTTTCCAGAACTGTATTTTTAAAATTACATTTTAGCGCCATATTTACAGTACTATTTGGTCTTCTTAATAAATGGATTCTGTAGGAAAAACCATTCCTTTCTCAACTTTCTATTCAGGCATTCTTAAAAAGTCGGCATCATTTTTTAGTTGGTCATAATGTGTCTTTAAGTACTCCCCCCACCAAGAATATCCATATTATGACTGTTTTAAAATGTCTGATATAATTAAAGATTAACAACAACTATGTGGGAAACAAAAAAATGTACACATTTTTGACAACATGTAGGGGTTTAGAGCTCATGCCCCAAATTCACATCTGGAGATGCCTCAGGAACTAGGATGTTGAGGAATCTATCATATAAAATTAGAATGATCTGGTCAGGAAAAATAAAAATCAAGGATGGTAGTCAGCCTAGAAACATTTTTTTCCTCAATAATCTCTGTTCCATTATTATAAGCCAGAAAAACAGAGTAGTGTTAACAAACAAGACAACTGTCAATAGGTGCTGGGAAATAACAGTAAGTATAAGTAGACTGGCTAGTCCATGAACTTACTTTCTTTATCTATCCATTCCATATTCTTGGGGCTATGAAATTATAATCGAAAGACACAATTTTAAGACTACCAAAGAAGAGCATTAGATTATAACAAGAGGCTTTTTGCTCTAAAGCACAAATGTCTCTATGTCCAATTTATACCAAAAATTATAAGGAGGGGTATAAGGCTAGGGTTGTTTCCCAAGTTAGATATCATTAGTCCACTGGCTAATACCCTCAAAAATTAACAGTTTAACATCAAAACAAAACAAAACAAAACAAAACAATTTAACATGACATCTTAGGAACCCAAGCTCAAAAATGAAAGGAAAACAATGTGTATCAAATAGATGGACGGAATGTAACAGGATGTTATATTTAACTTTACCTGAAGTTTTGGGAGTTTTAGTATGGCAGAGATCTCACAAATCAAGTAAAACAAGGTCAAATTAATTTTTTCATGCACGTGCTATCAGATACAGGAAAGCTGGKTTGGGATGCTTAGCTTATTACCCAACAAAATAATAAGTAACTAGAAATTAGGAGACTGAGCAACATAATTGGTAGAAAAAATTTCTTCATTTTCTAACTTTATTTACTGGAATTGAACTTGGGGCA